GTCGAAGGGAGAAAGTGATTGTAAACTTTTCTTACATGATCTTCAAGATCAGAAAGACTCACTTGTAGTGTTCTTTGCTACATTAGACAACCTACGAGTTAGTTAATTTACTGGAAACAAGCATTTAACCTCATTTTCTCTTTAGTTTTAAGTAGAACTCTTTTCTCAACTGAAATTGATGAATGAATTATATATTTAGAGGCCATGGAAATTTGCACCATATGTCAAAGGAAAATGTTTGTATTTGATTCTGTTTTGTAGATAAACTACCCTTGTAAATAAATTGATTTTCTGTCCCTGCTACCTCCTCCAGGGATGTTGGAAGGCAGCAGGGTTTGATTAGTCCTTAACCCACATGTTTACAGTCTCTTTGGGCATAATTTTTTTTGGAAGATTTGACCTTGCTTGAATTTGCATCAGAGATATTCACAACAATAAAACTCAGAAAGCAGGACAGAGTGTAGAAAGGAGAAACAGGGCTTTGGTATGCATTGGCATAGGCTTAATCCAGATTGCTGAAAAAATTCCAAAGTCTTGGAAAAGTTGTTGGATGGGCTTGTTTGATAGACTTTCAGCTTAGTCAAACCCTGTGAGCACTTTTAAGCTCACTCATGAAACAGCTTTCTTTTTCCCTCAGAAAATGCTTTCCTCAGCCTCTTTCACAGAGATATAGGTGCTCCCTCTGTAGCTCCAACACTAGTCAATGATGACGATGCACTGGTAAGGCAGGGTACAGATTTGATGTGCAGCTATTATTTTACGATTCTGCGATGCCCTTCATCAATTTAGATTGAGAGGAGCCCCTGGAGATCTCAGACTCAATCTCTTCTCAAAACAGCATCAGATCAGACCAGATTTCTCAGGATCTTACCCAGTCTCCCTGTCTAAGGATGGAGGTTTCACAAACTCTCTCTTGCAGTGTTTGAGCACCCTGAGGGTGAAATTTTCCCTCACTAGTTTTTAACTGGAATTTTACTCATTGCAACTTGTGCCCATAGCCTTTCACTATGCACATCCAAGAAGCAGGGCTGCATCTTCTCTGCTCCCTCCAACTAAGTGTAAAAGATAGCAGTGTAATCTCCCCTCCACCTAACTTCACCCTTCTCAGGACTGAGAGCACTCAGTTGTCTCAGTCCCTTCTTGCACATCCTTGAAGTCTGTCAAAGTGTGCGGTGTGGTGTTATTCTTCAGTCTTATCTGCCAGGCTATCAGTTTGCCAGCAAGGTTTATTATTACTGGAACAGAGAGGAAGGCCTCCATGCGAAGGCCTCTGGAAGATCACTGCAGACACTGTTATCTCTGGGAGAAATTGAGGTCTAAACAGTGAGCCAAGAAAGCTATCTTCTCTCTTCTGCCTCCTTAAGGTCAATTTAAAGTAGGACCTATGCAGAAGGTTGCTTCTTGATAGCATGTCTCCTTCCACGTTTGTCAGGGTGTAGGCACCAGGGCATCTGACAGTTGTAAAATAGGCTGTGACAGGGGGTCTGCACCACCATGAGCTGGATCTTTGCCTCAGAAGTGGTACTGCATCACAGGTGGCGGCTTGCCCTTGGAACCTCAGCTGAAGAGTGGGTTTATCATTTGTCCCAAAGATGCACATGCTCGATTCTGTAGTCGTTCCCTCTTTGGTATTGATCCCTGTGGCATGATACTCGCACAAACCTGACCAACAATATCTTCCCTTCCTCTTACTCCTGGAGGCATGCAGTGCTGTCCAAGTGTATAGGCATTGCCTTAGTTTTGGGATACCTGCTGATCTGAAAAGGGAAAAGGGGCTAGGAGGAGATGCTATATCATCGTGCAGTTTGAAAAATCAGGTAGAAAAATTTTATGGCTGTAAATGGCCAACAGCAAGAGACAGGATTTGAGAAAAAGATATTTCAGTTCTGTGATGCTGCTTATTCCAAATACTTGCAGTCCTGAACCCCTACGAACCTTCATTTCACTTGCAAGACCTCTATGCCTCTTCAAATCTGGCTCCAGATGTACTCCACTAGACACTCTTGTCACCAAAATTAGTGGCCTCTGCAAACATTTCTGGCTTAAGGTGTTTATGCTATCTTATATAGTAACCTATAGAACAGCTTGATCAAAGGCTGTAATTTGTCTGGCTACCATTGGTAGAGTTCACATGTCCTTCAGCTCCACCTGCCCTCCTGCTCTCTATCCCCCAAGTTCAGCGTCACGGGAAAAACAGAGAAGGTGATCACATAAGAAACCACTGCACTTAGTTTCATGATGTGATATTACCTTTCCTTCAAAACAGATTTCAGTCTCATAATAATCAACAATGGTGTAAATGAAGCCACAAGTCATCTTAGCAGTGCAGAAAATTTCCATGACTTGTTTAAACTCCAGCAGATGTCTTTGTGTTTCTTAAGATGGCTTTACTCAGAGGGAACTCACCAAGATGTATCAGACTAAGCATGCTGGAAATCCTGCTCCTCTCCAGACCTTAGCCACATGTCCCAGCTCTGTCATGATGCTCCTTCAGCCACTGCCTTTTGTGTAAGCTGGAATTCTCTCTTCTAGCAAGTTTAGGACCTAACAAGCCTCATCTGGTTCTTCTGAGATATGTGCAAAAGGAGGTGCTGCTGCTGCTCCCACTTTCCCTAGTACACCAGGAATCGGTGGGCAATGTGCCTAGAGGGAATTGGGGAACCACACATGCCTTGTCCTCTGCAGAAAAAACAACACCTTTTCTCTGCCTTGACTGGAGAAGCTCATGGGCAGCTTCATGGGAGGAGAGCTGTCACTTTCTCAGCTATTTAGTGCTCCAGATCAGCTCAGCAGGGTTAGGCAACAACACAGCCCCAGGCACCAGTGACTCCTGTAACACTTTCCTCCAAGCAGTTACTGGGTGAACTAATGACCTCACCCAACCTTCACCCTCATACACAGGACAACCTCAGTCACTAGCCTACAAAGCATCACTCCTCCCTGCCTGCAGACCTTTATTCCCAGTGCTTTTACTGAACGGTGCCAGAGCTCCAAAGGGAGCAGAGATGGGTCCCAGTTGGGGATGTCTGTGCCTGACACCCAGGAGAGTGCAATTTGCAGGAGAGCACTGTCCAAGGTTGCCTTGTCTTCTGCCAAGAAAGAGAGTCTTGCATGCATGGGAAGACTGGGAGGTGCACTAAGAAGAGTAGGTGCCCAGTAAGTTGGCACAAAGCAACATACTGCATTCCATTGCGGTTCAGAATCCTTCAGACGTTTTTTGCTGCCATAAAGTGCCATAAAAGTAGTGGTTGCACCCGTGAGTTTGGCCTTAAAAATTATTTATAAAAACAAGATCAAGTGTCTTACCAGATTTTTTTAAGATCATGATGCATTTTTAAAGATGCGGCACATTAGCGATTTTCTTGTGTGTATGGTTGTAGTTTACCTAGCCTCAATTAAAAGACCTGATTAAGCCCAAGTAGTTAAATCACTTAAACTCTTTATGGAGATTAGCTTACTTCCAGTTACACTGGCCCAATTCTCCACATTTATAACAAAGATCAAATGAGTCTGTTAACACAGACAAACCCCAAGGGACATGAACTTCAAATAACACCTCAACTGAGTTCTGCCCTGGCTGCAGGACCCTATCTGCCCCCACCTCTACTCCACAGTAGTTCCCTCTGCTCTGGGCAGCAGAAGGCTTCCTTGTTCTCCTCTCTGGGCAGCTCTGGCGTTCCCACCAAAGGTCCATGACACCGAGAGTCTCATGTTAGCCAGCAATACACAGAAATAATAGCCTAAATAAAGACTGATTTTTTTGGGGGGGGAAAAACATGAGGAAGAGGGGCTAGTGGGGAACAGAGAGATGATGCAAGGCAATGGAATGAAGAAGAAAGAGGAAGACTAGTTAGTGTAGCTGAAGATTGTACTCTAAGCAGTGCTACAGAAAAGTAAACTTACACGTGAAAAAGAACTAGAAGCAAGAAACAGCTCCTAGTTGTTATTAAGGACCCATCACCACCGGGTGATGGCAGGTCGGTGGCACAGCCAAGGGTGTCCTTTCTCACAGGGAGGCAAGATCCATATCTCAGGAAGAAACTTGGAGAGGGAAGGGATGAGAAAACATTTCTATTACCTTGGAAAGCAACGGTTTATGCTGCTCTACGCTGGCAGCAGGTGAACTGCTGCCTCTGCACCATCTTCTGAGATCAAAGGCCTTTTCCTGCTCAGGTGGCGTAAACAGAGACCAGGGCACTGTCTGAGTTATTAGGTGACACAAACTTGTGCCATGCTTCAACGACTCATAGGTCCTGACAGCTGCTGGGATGAGTTTGCTGTGCAAATTAACCGTGTAGTGAAGGAAGAGATGATCGCTTCGGGGAGCACAAGGGAATTGCTTTGGTTACTAGCGATTTCATTTCTCTGCATTAAAAAAGCTGAGGGTAAGGACTGACCCCATGTTGAAAGAGTGACTGTTAGTGGATGCATCTTGTTCTGTAGCTGCTATGAATGCGTCCAGGAAGCCTGAGCTATGTAAGGTATCAGTCACAACACTTACTTCTCTGGAGCAGGAAAGATATGTAGCTTGAGTTTGCAGTCAGACTTGGAAGGACATCCAAGCAAGAGAAGCAGGGATCATAGTTTTCCATGTCTGGCTCCCCACTGTAATAGATCTTGGGAGTAAGGCCTAACACAAGTAATGCCAGGGAACAGACAGTTTAAAGCAAATTTATTAATATTTAAAAACATAACAATTACTCAAAGTGTTAAAGAACTCATTGGTCTCAACTAGGGGGCCGGCTAACTCAGTCAGTTCAGAGTGGTGCTAACAACGCCAAGATCACAGGTTCGATTCCAGTTTGGTCCCCATGTGTTGCCTGATCTAGTCGAGAGGTGGCATCCCTGGCGACAGGGAGGCTGGATTAAAATGATCTCTAAGGTCCCTTCCAGCCTAGGCCATTATTGAACAAAAGGAGAGAATGACCTTTCCTAATCTCCTCAGGAGTTTCCTGAAGGCCTTATCAGATGCTTCTTGCACATCAAATGTTTGCACTTCCTTTTTCTCTCTTCAGTCTTGTTGGGACCTCAGCATGAGCTGCTTCTCTTCACTGGGCATTGCAGGAGGCTGTTCACAGCTTCGAGAACTGAACTAGGTGTGGGCCAATCTCTGAGACGTTGGCACAGCCTGAAATAAAGAGATAAATGAAACATGTTGATGAGAAATTACAGTCTGTGGATGAAACTTGGAAGGCCCCTTCTCTGAGTCAATCTGGTCTTGTACAAGCCCTGCTGGTTGGTACTTCAGCAGCTCATTCACAGGAACCCAACCCACCAATGGCATCTTCAGCCTTGAGGTTAGGGACCTTGAGGTTAGGTCTTTCCACACAACAAAAGTTAGAAACATGAAAAAAAGGGAACCCTCTGACAAGCAGGAAGCCATATGATTCATCTAAAAAGCCAGAAAAGACACAGAGATTGCCCTGTGTCAAGAGACTGGAGGTGGAGATTTGCAATGGTGTTCCATCTGGTCAAATCTGCATGGAATTTTACAGACCTGCCAGCTACTTTTGATGAATTCAGTGTCCTTTGGCATGTAAAGAAGCATGAAAGCCTCCTGGGGAAAAAAATCTTGTAGGAGTCTTTACTAGTTAAAAAAATAACACAAAACTCCAGGCTATTAAGAAATGCCCAAGGGGATTTCAGTTCCAGTCTCCCTGTCAGTGTTACTATCGATTTGAGTTCATAGTCACTAGAGCATGAAAATCTTTAAAATGTGATTTTAAAATGTGATTTTAAAATGTGATTTTAAAGTGCAATAAGACCCTTTGCTGATGTCTGAACACGTCTGCACTGGACCTGCATGCTGTACTTGTTCGTGTGTAAAACTGGAATTTGTACTGGGCTGTGCAAATTTTCTGTTCAGTGAGGGAGGTCAAACATGGCAGCTATGGGTAGGAGCAGGTCAGAAATGCAAAATGAGGAACAATGCTGAAAGTTTGGAAGAGAAATGGATGCTTTTAAAGCAGGCAGGTTGCAGAGGTTTGAACCTGCACCAACAGACTGTGTTCTCCAATGCACAAAGAAAAAAATCTGCATCCATTTTTCTTCCTAACCTTTTCATGCAGCAAAAGAAAAAAGATGGCATTTTACTCTAGTAAACATGAAACCAAATACTGAAAAACATACACTGCAATTCCCAGCAGAACAGAAAACTCAGGTTTTACTCAGCTCTACTTAGTAGTTTTGCATGTCTTTAGCTGGGTAAGAAATCTACTTTAACCTACTTCCTCCTTGTAAGCTTCATCGCCATGACACCTGAAATGCCAAGTGGCTTCACAGGATGCAGAGAATCACTTTAAATACAGCAACTAGAACGAGCACAGCTCATTCATCACGCTTCTGATTTTAGACAGCTGGCACACAGAAACCTCTGCATCACTGATTACAAGTAATCTGCAAAAAGCTTACCAGCTAAGGCCATCGACAAGCGAAATTCATCCTGCAAAATCCTCAAAACCTCCTGAAGACCTTCTTCACCCTGCTCCAACAAAGAAAGCAGTCAGAGTAAAAGGAGCACTGGCACAGAGCAGTCCTGCAGGATGCTTGCACTGTGAGCGCTGGGACAGTCCCTTAAGTCCCTGCCAAGTCCAGTCTCTCATACAGACAAATGATTAAAATGATATGATGGATGTGCTCAGTTCATCACAGATTAATTTAGATGCTTTTCCTTTTGTGATGCATCTGAACAGGGAAAGAAAACAAAGCTGTTTTTCACTTTTGACATTTTCTAGCTGTTTTGGTTCTGTGGGGTTTTTTCTTAGCTTTCAGTTAAACTCCATCAATGGGCTTGTTTTAAAATGTCAAGCATTACAAAGCTGACAGCGTTTTATGAAGTAATGGGAGTTTTATATCTGGTACAGCTTGGTACAGTTTACTCAGATACCAGACTGAATCTTTAAAAATAGCACACTATGCATTTTCCTCCAAGTAAGTGGCATCAAGAAGCTCAAAATTCAATGAAATATACAGAATTTTGATCTCACTGTAAAATATAGGAGGATTTTTTTTTCTCTTTTTCTCTTAATTTTTTGTTTTTATTTCTTGCAATGGAGACTGCTTTGGGTGCTGACAATGTCAGTGCTTGTTCACATTCATCCTCTCTTGTATGCCAGGGCAATGCCACCAAGATACATCTTCAGGACTGTTCTGTGGAACATAACAGCAAGGCACAGCTGAACTCAGAAAATCCCATCTCCTTTCCATCTGCACTGTGAAAAAAAATGCAGTCAACTCCCAGTAACATCCTTTGCATGTTGGGTCCTTTTTATCTGTTAACTGGCAACAGAAACAGTGCTGTCAACTTCCAGGTTTTTTACAATATTCAGGTGATTTTTTTGCTTAAACTCTAGCTGCTGGAGTCACATCACTGGACAGAAGTCTCATTATGGTCTAGAAATGTTTCTAGACCATAAAAAATAAATATTTTTTCTTCTAAAGAAAAGCCTGAAACCTTCAGCCCAGAGGCTAAAAAGCAAATATTTAGCAAAGCAAACCACTGGTATAATTACATTTTAATTATATCATGCTAACCTTTTGCATCAGAGGCCTAATTCATGACTCTGGATCATAGAAATATGTTAGTAGTTAAGAAGCAGCAAAGCCGGAACTGAGGTGGTAGTGGCACGGTCAGGCACCCAGAGGACATGGTTGTGCCCAGTCTTATCCAAAATGTTTCAGACATCAGTGGGATGAAGTTCTGTATGTACTTCTGAAGAATTCATAATACCGACATGAAACTGTTATATTAAGCCCACATATTGTTTCCAAGTAGGCTGACTGCAAATAAAATTGTCAGATACATCTTTTTGGCAAGTAAGTCCTCCTCCAAATTTCAAAAGCATTGATGGTCCTAAGTGCTACAGTCTCTTAGCACCAAACTGCAACATCAAGAGACCAGGTCCCCCAAAACAATGTTATCAGCTTCAAAATCATATTTGAAATCATAAAATTCAGTGGTATTTTTAAATGACAGAAAACATCTGGTTTTGATTCATATTTGGGTGTTTCCACTTCAAATTCAGGAAAAAAAAATGGATAAGACTCACTGGTGGAAATTGTCTTTATGACTTTTAAAAAACAACAACAGAGCGTTGGAGAGTATGAGTAGACACACAAACTCAAAGCTCCTTACTCACCTTGTAAGCCAGACCCCATAAAGCCGGTCTTCCAATGAAGACGCATTTTGCCCCCAGAGCCAGTGCTTTCAACACGTCGCTTCCTTTTCGTATTCCACCATCCATATAGACTTCAACTCTGCCTTGTACTGCCTCCACAACCTCGACCAGAGCATCAATCTGCAAAGAAGCAGCCACTCTCACCTTGAGGTCAGCTTTTGATTCCAAGAGAAAGAGGAGATATTCTGAAGAGACGGGCAGGGATGAAAGGCTTTAATAGCATAGCTTCTCAAAATGAAATGCAGCTGCACATCACAAATAGCTCAGTACCAAAAGCATCAGAATAAAGTACAGCTCCCTCTTTTGTTTGCCAGGTAGTTAATTCCATTTTAAGGTGCTTTGCTGTATATATCAGCTTTTGCTGATACTCTTTGCTAGCACATTTGATAAGTGAAAAAGTAATATTTTCACTTGCTCTCTGAATTTTTTTGAAGAGATTTTGAAATTAAATCTCAATGGAAATAATTGTTGTTAATATCTTACTTTCATTTAGGACAATGATGAATGATACAAATGTTTGTGAAAAAGGATCATGTCAAACTTTCCCCCGCTGCTGTCCAAATTGCCTAAACTTACATTTCAACCTAATCCCTGTGATCACCTGTCAAAAAAGACTGCCCAAGTCCCCTCAAGCATCTATGAAGGATTTCATCTGCTGTGAAGTACAGTCAACATATTTCCTCCAGGCCCAGTCGCTTGATTCCCTGGGGTCCTCTCTGTAGAGCACAGCGCGGTGCAGGGCAGCACCACGCAGAGTTGCTGGCTCTGGTCCCAAAGACAGTATAACCAGTGGGAGGACGTTGCTCTATACCTAACTAATTCTTCTCAACAAACCCAAAGGTCTCTTTTCTGAAGTCTCTGACACTCTTTTGCCATCTCTCTCATCCCGTTTTTTAGGTAGACCAGCTGTAACTAAGATACTAAGTAGATTTTTTCCACTGAAAATCTTCAGGCTGAAATTTTCCAGAAGTAGTTCAGAAAGAACAGGCACAATAGCTTCTGCTGCCAGGCTTGGTACCAGAGCTGAAATAGGTATCTACTGGTTTGTCTGTGTATGTAAGGAAATTTTTAAGGTAGAAGAGCAGTTTAGTATGGATGTCATTTCCATTATTATGTCATTAGCATTTGGATTAATTTTTTTAAAAAATGTTATTGTCAGCCTTAGCATGGAAAATAATTCCTTGGTACCTATTTTTATTTTAGAGAGGAAAACAGAGAAAAGAAAGTCTATAAGATACTACACAGTACAGAACTGTAAAAGAACAATTGGAAAAACTGACAGAAGTCAAATTAAACCAGTGAAATACACATAAATCCAAAAGACCCATGATTTCATTGTACAGATTAAAAAACAGGGGAATTTTTCTCCAGATAAGTTACCCCTTTTCTGGCTCATGAAAAATCAATACATTCCCATTTAGTTTTGAGTCTGTAAGCAGACCTCTCACTAAATCTAGCTGCATAGTTTGTGCATGCTTGGGCAGATGTGAGCAATGAGAATACATTAGGCTCCCATTTGTACATTTGTACAGAGGTTTGTTTTATGTTTGCTGCAGTGTGCAAGGAGTAGGTGTGCACTGCACCAGCTAATGAAGACGGAGGCAGAAAACTTCTACTAACTTAGGCCAGTAGTTTATCTGCAGTTATAGGGGTTCAGCGCTGCTTACAGAACCCTCTCAAGAGGCTGAGAAAATATTTCAGTGTGCAGCCCATGCCAAGGTGTGCATCTTACCAGCTTAAAGCTAAAGTATATTCACACACAACCAAAGCCATGCAGCAAACACATGAGCCCACCAGAAGCATATATATACAAAGACAAGCATAGAGACACCCAGGTTAGCACCAATGTGCACACAATAAACACCCATGGAACATCAGTTTTCTCACTTACAGTGGCAGGTCCACCATCCAGCTGCCTTCCACCGTGATTGGACACAATGATTCCTTGAACTCCATGTCTCACTGCCAGCTCTGCATCTTCCTTTGTCAAGATGCCTTTGATGATGATGGGCAGGTGAGTCAGACTCCGCAGCCAGTAGATATCGTTCCAGGTGACTGAAGGATCCAAGCTGTTGGGTGGAAGTCCATACTCAGAACGGTCGTGTCCCTACAGCCACAGGACAGAAAGAAACCTTGTCTGAGCTATAACAATACCAAGGCCTCTTGAAGTCTTTCCTTGCCCTAGAAGAGATTAATTAAACTTGCTAACAGACATGTTAATTGGCTCTGAAAAGCACAGTCTCCAGAGGAGAATAATTACAATGGGGATGGAGATCGGAGTCTCTAAGGCAGTTATACTGGGATTTTGAAGCCAGAACCCAGTCTGGCAGGAGGTCAAGCCAGGACACTGCAGAACCAGAAGGGGAGAAGATACGCCCTCGGTACAGAAGATGCCAAAGCAGCAGTTACCCGGTGTTTTTTGTCTCATGCGGTACATGTCAGCGCAGTGAATGAAAGGACAGGCTCATTTTACCGACCTCAAACGCTCCTTCCAAGTTCTTCAGTTTCATGTGGGGAGGAAGGCGGAAACCATTGCGGACATCGTCACGTCTTTTGCCAGTGTAGGGCAGATCCGCGGTGAGGACAAGTCCCTGGAAACCCAAGGCCTCCGCCCGTCGGACCAACTGCTGGGAAACCGCCCTGTTGCGGTGGATGTAGAGCTGGAACCACCAGAGGCCGCCGGGGGCGGCTGCAGAGATTTCCTCCAGCGTGCAGGTGGAGTACGTGCTGGCAATGTAACAGGTGTTCATCGCTTTGGCCGCTGCAGGAGGTATTGGAAAATAATCATAATCAAGGTCATTTGAATTCTCCTGCCAGACACCAGGTACAAAAGTTTTTTATATACAGTTTGCAGAGAACTCCTGTTTTCCTTATATCCTACCAAATACAGGGCTTTACTAGTTGGCAAATATGCCTTAGGTTTAAAAACGTCCTTATTTACCATGCACTGTTGTAGGATCATGATTAAGAAAGAGGAAAATGAGAGGTAATTTACCAAATTTCATTTTGCAACAATTTTTTTAGAAGGAACTAAAGTTTCGTTTATGACTATGTCCTCATAGGAATGTGCTGTCAAATGCACTCAGTGTACAACATGAAAAAATATATTTCCAAGGGTCAGCTCTCCAAACCCACCACAGGATTTAGGAGAGAGAGGTTATGCTTTTCTCCAGGGGAGACACTGTTTACCAGCAACGAGGAATTCACAGACTGAGTCCCATCCACCACTTTTGTTTCTATGTAGATCCCACAGTACTGAAGACTTGTGTAGTCTTTGCTGGACACCAGAAATGGGTTCACAGTCTCTGTCTTAACTTTGCAGCAGCCTCCACAGATCTGATCTTGTAATATTGGTAGCTGGAGAAGTAGAGCAATGTCTATACAGCTTCCCACACAGTCTGTGTCACCAGACCCAAGTGGGTCATCCACTTGGATGTATTCTGACACCCCCAAAGGCGCGTCAGAATGTGAGAAAGGAGTTTGCACATTTAAGGCTGAAGATTTTACTTCAAGTCATCATAACAGTTTCTTGAGGCTTTTCCACCAGCCCCTTTTTTGCTAAATAGCAGCAGAGTACCTCTGGCTGTGCTTTTCTCTCCATCAGGCCATGCTAGCTGGTGGAAGCCGGTAGGGGCAATTCCTACAGGAAAGCTGATTTCAGTTCCCAAGAGCTTAGTGCTAATGTCCATCATGGATACGTCCCGCAGCATACGTGGCCGAAAACGAATTCTGTAAGACAAAAAAAAAACCCATCAGCATAGTGGCTGTTCAGTGGCTTTTCTGAAGTTTCATGGAAACCAGGTCTTCATTTATGTATTGCAGTGCACGAATCTGAGCCAATAAAGAAACCAGCATATAAAAAAGGCTCTTTGACCTCTCTGTCTTCTTTTAGAGGTCAATTCAGTCAGCAGTTCAGCCACTTCCACTTGTCATTAACCCCATATTCCTGTTTACTGGCCACAGTACATTTCTGCATTTCCCACCTCAGCTCACGCGCTCTAGTTCTCCCATTGTCCACCCCACAGATTCCTTCTGCTCGCTACCCAGTCCCAGGACACTTCCTTCCACTCCGCCATCCATAGGGCTGCCGTCACTCTCTGCAGCATGTTCCCCAAATCCCATTTCACTCACACATACGCTTCCTGCTGTTCCTCACGTGCTTCCCATCGCAACTCATTCCATTATGGCTACTCATCTCCTTTCCTGCCACACCATGCCATACGTCCATATCCTCCAGCACCGCTTATTCAATCACAACACAGCAAAACTCATTCAATCTGCATCATATTGAGGCTAGTATCAGAGCAGAAAGCATATATCATTCAGGTAAGTGCATTTTGCTTGGGGACCACCTCGAAGGGGCAAAGTGTTAGGTATCTTTGCTTGTGAAGTCCAAACACTTGCACAAAAACATAGTTTAAAAGCTTCCAGTACAACACCCCTCATTTTCTCTTCACAATACCTTTCATATGCCAAAATGTTTTCATCTCGGGTCCTACAGTCATCTGCTCCAGCTGCAAAATAATCCCAAGCAATCTTGGGTAAATACTTTTTAGCATATGCTTCGAAGTCTGAAACACACACCATAGCCATTGTGGAGAGAAGCTCTGGGAACCTTGAAGAAAAGAATAACATGAAGCAGAAATTAGACCCTTGAACTGTCATTCTCTCTTCCAGGAGCTCTAATGTCACTTAATGCAAACCACGGACCCCTCTATCTTGCAGAAGAGCTGCTGAGTCTACCTTGTCATTCATCCTCTCCCCTAGTATGAGGAAAACTTGAGAGTGCAGCCATCAGAGGCTTGCATTTCTGTGCCTCTTTTTATTTTTTCTTAAACAGAAGCCTGAAGAGGACATTTTAGGTCCTCTGCTATTTTAAGACACAGCAATTGTGTAATTCTGTCATAAATTCCATCTTAAAACTAGCTGGGTTATTTGTTCCACTAATTCTCCTCAAAGGTTGTCCCAGAACATCATTTGCTGGATTATCCCTTAGGACGGCTCCTTGACTGAACAATTAGTTACGGAGCACAGTTACTAAATTCAAGCTCATGAAATCTGGAAGTAAGTAAGTATGGAGCCTACATCTAACCTGCTCCAGCATGAACGCATTGTAAAACTATGTCCAGACTCTGAGTGCAAGTCACTGTCAAGGCCAGTGCTGTGGAAAAACAAAGTATTTTTTATTTTTCTCTTTTGTAACAAATATCTTCTGGGTGTTTGCATTACATACTGAAGCACTGATACATACTAAAAAAGGAGCATACAAAATCTGGACAAACTATGAGAAAACACTGGCAAAACCCAAATTCCACAACATGAAACATGATTCTAAGAACTACCCTAAATCTTTCAGGGAACAGAAGTAACATTGTGTGACACAGATGTCTAATCAAACCAACAAAAATGCTGCCTAGCAAATGCCTGCACTTAACATGCTTTTCAACCAGCCAGGGCTAAAATCTATGCAAATTAAAGTTTCAGCAAACCATGCCTGTTTGTGAGGAAACGTGTACAAAACACGGACAAAGGCAGTTTGCTAAATTTTTTGTTGCAATTGCTAAATCATTTGTTCCAATTACTTCCACAGCTCTGACGAAAATAGACATTTTGCAAGGTATATGAAAACATGAAGTTAAAAAACAGCTGTGGTTTGGGTCTAATTTTTTTCTAAAAATGCACAGGAAGAAGTAAATGTCCTAGTTTTCAAGATCAGCCTCCTGCAGCAGATTAGCAGGGCTTGCAGGATTCACCAAAGCCAGTCCCATGTGTCCTATGTTGTACGCTTCTGGCACAGATAAACACACAGGTTACATATAGAGATCCAGCCTGTCAAACTGCACACATGGATGTCTCTCTGGCTGAGGTGCCTGTGTATGCATACACTTGAAAACTAGGGCTCATAAATCTCTGCCGGAAAGAACCCAAGATGAGGGACTTATTGGAGGATGTAGAAAAAATGTGACGGGTTTCTTCAGCATTGTTTTGTCTCCTCTGACAGGCATTAAGTAGCAGGTGGTAAAAATATCCCAAGCCCTCTCTGCATGCCTGATGAGAGACATCAAGCACTGCTTGACAGCACAAGTCTTCATACATCACAATATGCCCTAAACCCCATATCATGACTTCTGCTTTTCCAACTGTTAGAAAGGTCAAAGCCAGCAAGCACAAAAAGATAAACCAAGTCCTCTCATGGCAGAACAAATGGGAATTTTAAACAACCTAGGCCCGTTGTCTCCCAGCTCAGACCTCAGCTGAAACTTACTTGTGGTTGCAGGGAGTGAAATCCTCTCCTTCAAGTTCACCTGCAAACAGGACGTAGAGGTCGTTTCACTCAGTGGCTGCTGTTTTTTCTGGAGTCAATAAGCAACCAACAGAGATTAAAGCTCAATCCTGCAGTAAACTTTGTCCTGTTTGTATAACACTAACTTTGTTTTGCTGTCAGATGATTAAAAGGTCCTTCCAAAAATACGCATTACCTTGCCAGCAATGTGATTGCTTGGGAGACAGCACTGGAGCTGTCTTCAGCAGTGGCTGAAGACTGTGTGTTCATTTAGGGAAGCAACAGTATTGCAGGGGTTTTGACAGAATCCCTAAACCGTTGGTAACCTTCTGCTGAATGGGCTCCAAATCCCACCAAAATGATGACCCACAGACAGTGTGAGTTGTTACAGCTCACAGCTACAGAGCCTTGAATCTTTACCGCTGTGTGTGGAAGAGATATTTTTCTCTCTATATAGTATATGAACAAATAAAGTATCCTTCGTCTTCTGCCATTTTTAAAGGGCTATGAGTGCTGGCATGATACAGTTGCTCTCCCACTGGTCTTGCAGATTCCCTCCTTTAGCTCCCCACCCAGTCATCTCCCAGGAGGACCATCAGTCTTCTCCCTTTCCCGTCCTTGGAGCTAGTGAGACTTCTCTGTACTTCCCTCTGTCTCCCCTCTGGTAAGCATTACAAAACAGGACTGAGGTGCCAACAGATTTATGATATTGACTTAAATTTGCAAGATATGAAAAGTAAACATTGGACAGTTTTATTTGTCTTTTGTTTTTTTAAGTCTTTAGGGTTCATGTTTTTTCAATTTTTCAATGCAAGCACGAGAGCTTGAAACTTTGATTTTTACTAAATGAAAATTGAGATTTTTTTTCTCATAAACATATGATACCAGGTGCAGAGGGTGAGGCAGAAACAGGCAAAAACATTCCCAAAAGTTTTATCAGTATTGTTGCCTTCCCAAGCCAAGCAGCCCAGCTGGGACCTGGGTGAGCCAAAGAACTGGAAGCTGAACAGGGCTGCAACCTCAGGACCCAGTGTCCAAGAGACTGGTTTGATTCAGGGCTGCAGATCCAACCTTCCTGAAGGTGGAAATCGTAGGTCACTGACATCATCTGTACAGCTGTAGTGAGCACCTGTTCTTCTGTTAGATGTATTCACCAGACCCTGCCCAAACTCCACCAGGCATTGTCATCTATACAGTCACACCATCATCTTCTGAAACTTCTTTAAAATTCGGCCTTCAGAACGCATTATCCATGGACAGAACTGTGAAGCTGGCTTCTGGAATCCAGCTGTGGGTACAGGTGTCAAGAACAAGACAAGGTTAGCTCAGCTGAAGAACCCATGAGCACCTTGGTTGCCTTTCCAGCCCAGGACCAGCTGTGAAGCAGACAGCCTTCAGGTCACTTTTGAAGAGAAGAGCAAAGAGCTGTCTCTATCTGCAAAAACCAGAATGTATCCTTGGGAATGGAAATCTTGTGCTGATTCTCCCTCCGCTAGATGTCAGCTTTGAGACATGCATATCAATCTATGTTAGTAATAACAAATAAATAAATAAAAAGCAACCGCAAAAAACAAAACCAATCTTTGATGGCCTGTGAGGCACTACGGCCTTAAACCTGATACCATCGCATCACAAGAGTGCCTGCTAATGTTTGGAAATCTTCATGTTTTAGTCTCAACAATTTCTGGTGCACAGCATAGCAATATATGTAGCTACGTCTGGTCTGGCCTGATCTTCATTTCAGCCTACAAGTTATCCACAGGGTCCTCTGCCACATTTTTCATTATGCTGATCTCAGTACTCCTTTACTTTAGGGATGCATATTGCAGCCAACTCATCAAACCATAAAGTTTATGGTTTCATGGTTATCATAATTTTACATAAATTAAAAAGTTTGTGGCTACTGCATTTTGGATCAGGAAAGGGAGAAAAACGGCAAAGCTGTGAAGCTCTAAAGTTGCAAGGAAATAAAAAATTGCCACAGAGATAATACCTTTTATTAGAGTCTCTGCTATGTACTTGAGAAGAAGTGGACAAGTTTTTAAGTTCTGGAGCTCTTCCACTGGAGTACAATAAAAGACTTGAAAAGACTTTCTAAAAACTTTGCAGGAAACCTTACTGTCTTCTTTTGAGAAGTGAAGAAAATAATATAGGAAATACTCACACATCTGGTCCAGCCTTGCAGGTAGAATGTCAAGCAGTCAACGGCCAAAGCTTCATTTTTGCTCAGGTCTGCACAGCTGGGGTTTTGCAGTTGGTTACTTTTCAATACTAACATGGTCAAAGGCTTGTGAGTCCAAACACAAAGATCCTGTGTGAAGCTGTGCTCCAGTTCCTATTGCAATCGCAATGCTCATTACTCTAGTTGGTCATATTTGTTTGCTTTTCACAGATGGCAAATCGCTGTGGGCCAAGCTGACATCTATCTCACTGATGAATCTCCTCATGGTGGGTTCAGTCTGGGACTTTACAACACTTCAGTGAAGAATCTGGTGAAGTCTAAGCAATGCAAACAACTCAGATCACATAACAATTCATGTATAGTCACCACCAGTTTTCCTTATAAGATGTCCTTCTTGGGCATATGCCCCATGTTTAGAATGGAAATGCTTTTTCCTTGCATGTCAGTTTTCCCCAAATCAAATATTTAAATAGCCATTCCCTTATTATAAGTGGAGATGGCAACAAATCTTGTATTTAACATTGCATAACACTTTCAATTATAAGACCCAGTTTTCAGTTGCTTCTAATTTTGTCATATTTTAATTATTCTAGGCTGAAATTTTCCACCCTTGGTCTCCGCGTTGGGCTGAATCGTTCTGGGAATGTTTCACTTGAAAGCCAGTCAGCAACTTCCAAGAATGAGGTTAGTGAAAAATATGGTGGTTGGCCCATGCTGAAAATGTCTTACAGTGGTTTCACTGCAGCTCAGTGCTTCATGCAGGGGCTTAAAATTAGCAGGGGCTGATCCCTGGGGGCATCAGCCTGTACTTGCTGGCCATATGAAAATCCAGCCAGATTTGACCTAGCTGTAAATCACTGCTCTCTGCTTGCACATGCTCAGCAGAGCTTGTCTGAAATCCAGATGTTATCTTCACTGAAGACTTGCCTAGTGCAGAGCATGCTTCTGCCTATGGCCAAAAGAACTCAAAGCCCCAAATATAAGCAGATGGCAGGGCTGGCCACCCCCCAGCCTCTCACCCTTCATGCTGCCTGTGCTTGCATTCAGCCTTAAACAGCACTGGAGGGGAGAAGACAAAGAAAAATAGTAGCTCAAAAGAGGATCTGCAGGACAGCACCTGGGGACAGG